GAAATTACAATGTCTTATTTTATATATTTAAATTAGAGTGGATGGATCACAACTTTAAAATTCCATTTTTTCTCTCTGCTGATCACGGAATGAGTTTAGGCTGACTTGCACCAATACAAACATCTTTATATGGTCAAGTGCAGGGGTTTGTTTGTTTGTTGAGTTTTGGGGTTAGTTTTGTTGGGTTTTGGGTTTTTTTTGTGTTCATTAGCTTTTTTTTTAGGAGGACCGTAATGTTTCTGTTTTGCTAAAAGGAGCCATGGAGAGGAGAATGATCCAAAAGATGAAATATGTTTCTGGGATTTGAGACCTAGCTTTTAGTCTACACTTTACCCCAAAAAAATATTGCATGACCTTAGAAAGGCTGTCTAATCTGCCTGTGAAGGAGGGGTATTAGTTCTTTCCTACTCTATAATGGTTTTAGGTAAATAAATATATCAATGATTGTGAAATGATTAAATATCTTTGTGTAAGTATGACAATAGATGGGCAATTCTGTAGCTTCAGGGAGACATTCCTTTATCAATTATTCCTGAAATATTTTTATGAAAGTGTTCATGACAGGGTGAATTACATTTTTCCTTACTTATACATAATCCCTCATGAATGAAATATTAAATTTTACATTTATACAAGTATCGTTTAAAAGTATACATTGCAGGAAGGTTTCTGACTTTTCAGCAGTCAGTCATCAGAGCAATTTCTGATGATCTTCATTCAGTCCTGTATTTTAATCAGTGTTAGATAAATAAGGGTGCTGCCTTTTTTGAATTAAAGTTCCAGATTAAAATGAGCAATGACTGAGTAATTTCGTACTAGTTAATCACAGCAATTATTATTTGCAGATAAGTTCAGAGTACATCTTTGAGCACTTGTGCACTCAGACTCCCTAAAATAAATAATAATCCTTTTAAATAATTATCACACTTCTTGGTTCTTTCAGGAGATCAATTACAAAGATTCAAACAATTGATTTTCAACCCAGCGAAGATATGAATTTTTATTTTATATAATTTATATGAGTTTTTACTAGCACCTTCTCCCCTCTCAGTACCACTACACTGCTGAGCCAAAACCATCTGGCACTGTCCAGTCACTTCACCTGTTTCTTTTCCCCTTCATGGTTTTTCAAAGACCTTTAACTTTATCAGCAACTTCTTTAATGTAAAAATTCTGGTTTTTTTCCCCAGAAAATCTTTGCTTTAATATTTATAGGAGTTGAAGATTTCTGCAATCACAATACCCATACAAAAAGTCTATCTTGAAAATGATTGTAGTTAAAAAACAAACAAACAGAAATAACAGAAATTTCATGAAAGTCCCTAATGACTCAGAAATAATTTTCCCTTTCTCCCCACAGTACATGCTGGGGCCTCAATGGCACACAGTCCTGATGAAGATGTTAGCAGCATGTAGGACCCACCATGGCTGAAGACCTCAGAGGCCAGGGCAGGGGGAAGGAGTAAAAGCAGTTCCGTGACTCTTCCAGCCTTAAAACCCAAACCATAAAATAGAGGCCCCCCGCAACAAGAAATGCAGCCCTAGCACAAGTGTGGTGGCAACTTCCTTATTCCTGCAGCCTGTCTAGAAGGTGTTCTGGAGGAGCCAAAGGAGTATCCAGTCACAGAGTGGAGCTGGGAGATCAAATATGTGAGGAAGAGCGTGCCCAGCCATGTGGAGTGGTGGCCACAATTGCTCTCTGATGTTGCGCCATGTCTGAAATGAGCCCTGTGTTATCGCAGCAGTTGTCTGAGGCATTAAAAAAGTCACAAGTCAGGCTACCAGAAGGTAAAGAGAATATGTACAAAATATAGATTGTTCGCAGAAAAACCAGCAATTCCAGGTGTTTTTATTTTCTTCTGATTTCGAGACCTTTAAGTACATTTGGATCACATTTCACATAACTTTTCTTTCTGTGATGACTAAAAAATTTTCTTGGTCAGGTTAAAACAGCATAATTGAAATCTCCTGTAACTATTTGAGTGCAGGCATTTAAACTTCTAAAAAAACCACATTGTAAGAACATTCCTTGCTGCCTTGGCTAACGGTTGGTGAAAAGTAGACACCAGGGGTATTTGTTTCCACACTGTTCGTTTTTGCTGCCTCTCTGTTTTGCTTTGTTGCAACAGTCACTGTGGATAAAGGTATTTTTCTCTTCTAGTGTCTCCTTTATTTAAAAATTTCCTCAGGGCTCCTGCTGTGGCCCTGCTATGCCAGTGCTCACACAGAGCAGCAGCAGCAGCAGCAAAGCCAGCGAGCTCCCCTTCACAGCTGATGAGCTTCAGCAACACCAGCTACCTGCTGTCCCTTCAAACCCAACAAAACCCTGCTCCTCAGTTTCTGTAGGAATGTCAACAGTATAGTGTTTTTTTCAGGGGTTTGGGTGTTTTGGTGTGAGAGGGGTTTGTTCTAACCGGAGGGGAGAAGCGCAGGGGAATTCACATATAACTTGAAGCATATGCATTTCTTGCCTCTGTAGCTAAGATAAACCAAGCTTCCTCATTACAAGTATGTGCCTGGCTGTGTGTTATTTTCCATGATATATCCGGTTTTGGTATAAAGGCATCATAAAGACTGATAACACAGCATTTTGTGAGTGGTAAAACTTTCATACAGCCTGAGTGTGTGTGTGTGTGTATGGGGGGAAACCAAGAAAATCGAACACAAAACCCCACTAGCTAATGCTTAAGTAACAAATGCCACCAAGTGCCCATTTTCTGAACAACTCTTTTCAGATGAACTAAAGTGAAATGTTCTTTACAACTATAATCCTCAGGAAACAGACCCATCAAAGCTTCTGATTTGCTATTTATCCCCTGGCAGAGTCATTATCGGCCCGCTATATTACAGCCTGCAGTAGATACTGCCTAAATACTGACAAAAAATTTTAAGTTAGTGATAAACTTCAAGTGCTTCAAAAATCACTCAAAGAAGCTCTTGCAATAAATGGTAGACATTATAGGAATTTTGGTCAATCACATGATTTAAGTTTACTGGTGTTATTTCTGTCACTGTTGTATCAAGCCTCAAGCTGACAGTTGTTTGGATAAGGGAAATAGGAAAAGAGTTACCTGCTCTAGGTTTTGTGATGTCTTATTTTACGACTTTGTGCATAGCTGTTTATGTAGTATCTACTTGGTAACTTTGTTCTGATAATACATGCCCTACTGAAGACAGTAGGGCAACTAAAGACTGAAAGTTTGTAAAACAGTCTGACTAAATATATTTATAATTAAGTATAAAATAGCACTTTCAGAGTTTAAGAAATATTTTAAAACCTCTTTGTCTTTTATCTTCCTTTGTTTTTCTTGGCCAGAGACCTCTGATATCAGGTTTGGAATAAATCAGAATCCACTCAGGAAGCCTGCTAGAAACATTAAATTTCTGCAAGATTCAGCTGTCCTTCATAGCAGGTAAGGTATCAAAGCAACCAGAGTAGTGTTACATCTCCTATTCCCTGACAGCAGGAATGAAGAGGTAAATATATACTTGAAAGAAAATTATTTTTAAGAAGGGCAAAGGCCCAAAAGTTGCAATTCTAAGTTTAAGTAGGGTAAAGTACTTCTGTCTTGTCCTTATTTTTAATCAGAAAAGGCCAGAAAGTTTAAATGTTGAGATCTTGCTACAATTATTTAACGCAGAGCTTTAATTTTTCTATATATTAAATACAAAATAAGGTACCAATATTTTGGTGAAGCATGCAATTAAAGTGCATATGGTAGTCATTTTCAATTTCAAGTGGTACAACCATATCAAAGGCATCTGAAGCAATTACTTTCCTTCCCTCTCCTTTCAAATTGTTAAATTTTATAGGGTTTTGCTTCTTCCTGGAGTAGCAAAAACCCTGGTTTCTCTTTTGTTTAAATGTTAACCATTAATGAAACAATGAATCAAGATAAAAATACCATGTCCCTCTTGCTTTTAAAGAAGAGCAGTTGCACTTTATTTGCAGAGCATTGGGAAACATCTCCAGGATCATTTAAAATTCATGATTGATTGCTAATTTTTATGATAATTTTCCTTTCCATTTTATTTTAAATTGCAGGTAACACATCTGACTCAATGTCTGTTGTTTTAAAACGCTCCTTAGTAAATACAAGTGTACAGTTTGCTCCTATACGTGCCTCATTTCCAGATTTTCTCCTCTTTATCCCACTCCCCCAGGCTTCAGAGTACCCATCTCCATGGCAACACTCGATAAGGTTGGTGGGTGGTGTTATCACAGCAGGCTTCCCCACAGAAGGTCTCAGCCATATGGATTATTTATGAACTTGCATGACAGCACCAGACCCACTGAAATACTTCTTGAGCAAGTTTTCTTGTCTCTGAAAGCCAGTGATTCAAAACAGAGCAGCCAGCGCCCATGAGGAGAGAGTGGAGGAAAGGTAGCATGAAGGTGGTCCCTGCTCCCTCCTCAAAGCTGCCTTGCTGCTGCCTGCAAGGGCTGTTGCCCCAGCTGAGCACCTAATGACATACACCATAAATCATAAGTGCTATATGTGTCAGTCAGTGAAACTGGAAACAGTGAAACTTGTGCTTCCGACAAGAATAATAACCATGACTAAATGGTTGCTACAGCTGGTGCTGTTGTCAGGAGGTGCTGTTGCAGATACACTGCAGTAGTTCCATGACTCTGAGTTAGTCCCTGGAATAAAATGGCAGTTTGGCTTTGCCACTTTATTTTCTTCACCTGATTTTTTATCCTAGAGCTTTCAGATCAGCCAGTGAAGATGTTACCACCTTTATCCCACTCTTCCTTCTTCATCATATTCAATTCATCCCTCATTAAGGTAAAATGCTCCAGGTTTGAAAAGCTGAAGCATTTACAATGCTGAAGGTGACTCATTTTGAGAGAACTTGGTTAGTGCAGTTATGATAATTAATTGGAGGAGGCAGTAAAAAAATCTGGTCTTGAGACAGAGGGGAAATTTGAAAAATAAGAACTCAGAGAAGAAGGAAGCCAAGATCACAGAATATAGGAACCACATTAAAAATACTACCTTGACAGAAGCTTTGTCACTTGTCTTCCTTGGATACAGATTTGTAGATGCAGACTGGGAAAGAATACCAAGATATTTAAGGTATTGCTGAAGAGACTTGGCCAAGTTCACATCATTTTCCCCATCATAATTTCTTTCATTATCTGCGTTATGTCCAAAAGTCCTGCACAGCAAAAGCAAGCAAAAGAAAGTTACCAGCCTGTCCAACATACAAACTGGCCAATTAAAAAGCCACTGCAAACCACTGAAGTTAGTCCAATACTTAACAAAAAAGTCACTCAAAAGCTTATCAACCACGAAAGTATAGAAGATTCACTGTTTCAGCAAAAGTAGTCAAAAAATCTTGTGCTATTAACAATTTCTGGAATGAATCAAAGCTAATGATTCTACAGTAAATCAAATAAAATGCCACATCAAGGCAAAGATACATTCAGAAGAAAAGAAAAGAAAACGCTTGCAAAAAGAAAACGCTTGTAAAAAGAAAGTACACATGAATAAATTGCACCCCAAAGAAATATGAGATGGTTCTAAGATTTAAAAAAATTGCTGGATGATGATGAGATTCAACACCAATTTGGCCTTGCACCAATTTACAGAATACAAGGAGACTATTGGCTATGCAGAAATAACAGAGCAAGTCAGTTCCAGCAAAGGGCTTGAAAAGAGAATAATGAGACGGAACAAGTATTTCTTCTGATCTTCTCATGTGCCTGGGATTCACAGAATAGTGGTGTTTTCTGAGTGGTTTAGACAGATCTTGGTGACGTTTGCAAAGGAAGGCTAAAAGTTTGATTAAATCATGGCAGTGCAGGGGTGTTTATATGGGATTCAGAGTGCTGTGTGCGATGAATCTGAATTATTACCAGCTGTCCTCATCTATCTCAACAACGTGTCAATGATGACGATAATTTAAATGTCAGCATCAGTAACTATTTCATTCCTTGTGGAAGAAAGCAGAGAGAGGGTTCCCAGCTCACTTCCTCCCTTGTGAGTGATGCATTGTTTTGAGGGAAATCAGCTTTTTAGTGTCACCATTTCCTACCCACATTCCCCCCCACTTCTCCAATAAAGAACAATCCCAGGTGGAAAGGCTTTCCTACTCAGTGAAGGAATTTGACTTCCAACATCTCTCTGTCACTGTAAATAAAATCTTATTTTAGCAGCCCAACCCTCGGTGTTTATGTAGGGGCACAGCCTGAGAGAGCACTGTTAGATCATTTTCCAAATCTCGGGTTTAATTACAGTACTTTATGCACAAAGTAACAGACTTCCTTCCATGCTCACAGTTGTATCAAACGTGTGTCCCTACTAATGTAATGCCAATAAATGTAATTAATAATCTAATTTACTGTGGTGGCTTTGCAACCAACAGTGCTCACAGGGTTGCTCACCAAAATACCAGAAAACCCTCTACTTCCCCCTCTACACTTCAGTGTAAAACAAGCAGGTTCCCATCAGGCACAGAAACTCTAGGGGAAAAAAAGGTTACTGCACAGCACTGTAGCAAACTTGAGATAATTTATTGTAAGTCCTTCTTCCTTCCTATGCTGTTTGCGTTTTTCTCTTATTTCAGGGCTCTAAATTCTGCCTTATGATGGAGGGTGGATATGCAGGTAACATTATCCACCTCCTTTTCAACTTAAAGCCAGACTAAAACTATTCTGCAGTTCTAGAAAGAGCTGGGCAGGATTGCTTTCTGCTTCAGCAGAGATGAACTAATCCAAAGAGCCTCTCTTCATAGAAGGGATCCCACTTTCCAACACTCATCTTTCATTCACTGATTAATTCCAACACCTATCTTCTCCTTTCTTCACTAACTTTGAAAAGAAAGGGAAAATGAAAAAAACAGACTGAATTCTGCCCCAAGGATTTCCACTGGAGCTAACGGGAACTGAATGCACAGACAAAAGACAGCATTTAGGTTGGCTTTTCCAACCCTTATTTACAGTATATAATCACTGTCACTGGTGGTAAAAGCAAAATCTGAGCTCTAAGATTTCTCATTTTTCTTATGGAGACAGTAATTCCACTCATGTTTACATTCCACACTAGATATCATATTTTATGCTATAAACATTTAAACAATTAAAATGTAAAAGACTACAAAGCTTTAAGCTTCATTTGATGACAACTTTATTAGGATCCTATGAATACATATGAAAGATTTTAAAAAATTTTTATAGTTCACCTTGTTAATGCAGAAATGAAATGCATTAAGTGAGCTATTATTGCAAGCGAATTAAAATATTTCTTTTAAATTTGACAGAGTGATATTGGAAAATGGATGAAACACAAATATATAAAAGCACTTGGTGAGTAGGAGAAATGACAGATGAGTTCTTGTGCATTTTTTTGGAAGTATTTTCAGTTTTAATTTGTTCTGAAAAATTACTTCGCATACAATGAACTTTAGAGTAAAAAGGCAATAGCATATCGAATTATTTTTCCACAGAATATTTCCTACAAAACTCAGCACTTTGGAAGCTTTTGTGTGGAGATATCTAAATTACTGTACCTCAGCTATTTCTAGAATGTTCACCATTAATAGATATCACATTTTTTAGAATAAATTTCTCCCTTTTAAGTGCTGAGAGAATCTTATTACTGACTTAATGATGGTTTTATTATAGAAATAATGCTATACCCCATTTCATACATTGAAGTTTGCTGGAAACGTTTGTGGTTTTGCCTAATTGCACCAATGAACACAACTGACATCTATTCCCTGAGTGCAGAATGGACTTTTTTCCTTTATCTTGATACTCTTTCAAGAGAGGGTTTTTTGAAATTTAATAAGGACCCAGGAAATACCACGTACACTCCAGTTAGCCAACAAAGAAAGAACTTTCATCTTGAAATCAAACTCCCACTTTCAGCATTTTTTTGAGATGAAATCCATGTCTTCTGTTTCATCAGATTTCATATGCACTAATTTAGCCTAAGTCAATTTACCTTTCAAGTGTCTGAGTCTATTTTCTTGCTCTCACCAGCTCTGTGGGGATTAATGACTCATTAGTATGACTTCATATTGTCTTATTACACACGTTACCCTTAATAAAAGGTCTTCCTGCCATAATGTTTCTTTGATAATTAGATACCTACATTAAGTTGCTTTTTAAATTATTTAATTATTCTCTCATAAGATTTTAGCAATCACACTGAGCAGACCAAACATAGAACACACTTGATCAGAATCTACAAGAGACCAAATTTCCTACTGTTCTCTGACCTACAGAATACTTTGCAAATGGACAACCAGAAAAATCAATTAATGCTTTAAACTGTTGGCACATAAGATAATGCTTTCAGAAGCACAGCTTGGTAACTGCAGAAAATCTATCCACAATAGAAAGTGCTATATGTGAACACATTTGAAATTCTGATGTTCCTGAACTGTCAATACACAAAATGGATTATTTTTTAACATATAGTTCTAGTTAAAAATGCGAAACATCTCAAACCTGATTACAACAGGAACTCCTAAAAGTTTTCAATCTGAAACCTAAATAATTTCTTGTATCTGCTTATACTTTTTATTTTTATATAACTGTGAATCTGGAACACTGCAGAATACAGTCTTAATCTCATGGAAATCTGGCCTATTTTGTCCTATTCTCACAAATAAAAGTTTTAGGTTGACTCATTCTAAAAAAGTATCCCCAGAAGATAGTGAAAATCATTTCTGATACTATGTACAGAGAGTAATCCATTCTGTAATGGCACTGTGTACCATTTCTAAGCAGTGAAAATGTTTACAGATTCAAACACATGTTGTTATCACATTAATGATAATCTATAGATCACTATCATCTTTGAAAGTTAAGTTTCTACCTTACTGCACTTCTGAAATATATGATGCTGCGATTTTAAGGGATGCTTTTGAATCAGCAGACATGTGAAATACAGGGTAGAATATTGAATTAAATCAAAACAAAATGAAGCAAACACAGTCAAAGCCACTGGGCAATATCAATTATGCAGCATTTTTATTTCCATAAAAGAGCAATATAGAAAAGAAATGGTTCTGCAGTATATGCAAACCACATACTGCAGTATATGAAGATCTGAAGCCCATCAAGGCTAGAAGCTCAAATTCTACCCCACCATGAGGAGGGTTTTTTAACAAAAAGCACTTTCTTTCAATTTCACTACTTTTGAGATTGTAGTTCTTAAAATCATGCAAGAGAAAGCAAAATTTGCCATTTTAAATGTTCCTAAAATTTCCTTCTGGGGTTTGTGTAGTTGGGTTGCAGTCTATTCCTTATCATTTGGAAACCCTTCCAAAACCTTAAAAGCCTGTAGGACAGAACAGACCAGGTAAAAGAGTATTTTTATATGTGTAACTGTATATGAATATATATATAACTGTATATATAACTACAGGTTCTACAACCATATAATTTTACAAAATTACAGATGTGTCTCTTGCAATCAATAACTACAAAGTCATCCCTCAATACCTTTCAAGTCATATCCCAACACTATTTTCTGTCATGGGAACTTGCATGAATCTCTCCTTCCTGGAAAAATTTTGTAACTACCACCGGGAATCTACAGACATCAGATCAATTATAGCTATGTTTTGGAAGAATATGACTTTGAAAATATAATCAGTTGCTCAGAATGTCACTCAATACTTAGTCCAGAATAAAATGTCTCCTGTGGGTGAGCTACTGTATAAGTCTGCCTTTTTAAGCAGGTCATAAGTAGAGATGGCTGAATTGACACTAGAAAATGCATAAATTGAGTGCAAGGCCTGATGTTTTGAATTCTGACACCTTAATTAAAGACAGAAAGTGTATTTTCTTAACTTGATGATAATCAGAAAAACAAGATTCATGGTTTTAATTCATTCTGTACACTGAACACTGAAGTGTTCAGTGTACTGTATGAGTATTTTCCCTTTATCATACAAATAGTGGTTTTAGTGAGGTTTTTAATTCCACTTCTGTTCCAGTGTATTCCTTATCATTTGGAAACCCTTCCAAAACCCTACCAGGCAAAACCACCATAGAAGACTTACCTTCCTGAATCAGATCCTTCAGATGCAAATACATCGGGGCGTCTGCTGTGGATTTTGTGAATGGTTGAGAGTTCCTGACCAATAACATGCTGAGTATAATCATCTCGCCAGGTAAAACCTGAGAAATAATGAAACGAACAAACAAAAGCAAATATACTCTTTAATAACTTGGAAGTTTGGTAAAAAATATATAAACAATATTAAAAATAAAAAGAAGCTTTGTTCAAGTGGAACCCAAGAATGAATTCCAGATTCTTCTCTACTGTATGAAATTTTATTAATGAAATCTTCCTAATGAAACTTCCTTGCAATGGGAGGAAGGCAGTAAATCACGTGAGGACATTTTGAAAGCCTTTGGTCTCTGCAGAATTTTAGCTGGTTGCAAACTAGCTTTAATAGATATAAAAGGGTTCTTTTGGACAGCTATGGAAAAGAGTTATGCCAATATCTGGTATCTGTTGAAGGGTTGCTTCACTTCTTCCCCATTCACAGCACACTGTCCCTTCCCTGTTTCCCCCATGAAACTACGGGTTTAGAACATTAAGGAGCTAGTACTGCAGTTTTAGTATAACACACGTGGAGGTCAATTTATGTTATCTTTACATTTAAATGTTGTGACAAAGAACTTTACAACCAGGGGGAAGTGCAACTGTGAAGTCAAATTCCAGTGATTACCCATTAAGCACGTGCACTGCCAATCTCATGGTAATTATACTTGAAATAATAACTCCAAACATAATTGTTGCCCGATTTGTAGATTTTAGATGTTACAGTAACACTTCAGTTCATAGAACTTGCCCATGCAATTATCTGTAATTATCTAATAGCTAAATATCTCATAATTGAAGAGAATTTCTGCTTTTATGCCACATGCAGCGAAACACCACAAATCTCTCAAATGAATATCGATAAAAGTTCCAGATACGGTTATCCTGAATATATATATATAGTGTATATATATATAAATATATATATATATGTATATAGTATATTCAAATATATATATAGTACTGCCTGTAAGAACCACCTAAAGAACAATCCTCTCTAACACCAGATGGAAGCTGTTGGATCTGCTTGTTAGAACCAGGAAGGGACGTTGTTAGAACTTGGAAGGAGGATTTCTGGTTCAGTCCCTATTCACACACACATTATAAACTCCATCCCCTTCTGCAGACATCAGGATTGTTGGCATGGGCAGTCTCTTCAGATACAGCTAAAGCATCACCATGCTCAGAACATGTTTTTATGTGAACATACAAAATGAGTCACCATGAACCTATGATTATTTTGGTGTAATGTTATTAAAATGATTTTTAAAACATGATTGAGATATATTATATATGTATACAGAGTTATATATGTTATATATATATTCAATATATTCAATATATTAATTCACTGTTGCTTAACACTACATATTTCTGTTTGTTTTATAAATTCATGAAGGAGAAAAAATCAAGACAACTTTTCAGTTTAGAAGAATGTGCAACATAAAAAAGTTCAGCTAAAGTACATATATACTAAAATCATTAGCATAGCCATAAAACTACTAATTTATTAACTATGTGTCCAAAATCAATAGAGTTTCTCTTTCTAAGTCTAAGCTAATAGTAACCCTACTAAAGGCTAAAAAATACACAATAAATAACATAAACTTTGAAGAATAATAAACATAATTACTCAGAAGAGCTTGGTTTAAATTAAAGCAAGAAGAGTTCAACCATGGAGTTCTACATACAGACAAAAAATTATTTTCTCTCAGTCCTGAGCAATGCAGGTTTTTATACCTCCAAAAAACAATGTTTTCAGTAAAAGAGCATAGGAAATAATTGTGATGCCAGTTCTCACTGGTCATAGGAAATAATTGTGATGCCAGTTCTCACTGGTCATGAGAATGGTGTGTCTTTTGTTATCATCAATATATTTTTTTTCTACTGTAGTACTATTTTAACATTTTATCCTAATGCATTTCAAACCATCCTTAATGCTGTAAAAAAATATAAGTATGGCATTAAAAGAGAGTAAATAGATGAAAGAAAAACAGAATACTTGTTATAGATCTTAAGAAAGTAGAGTTAATGGAATATGTTCTCTCAGCTGTATCTCCAGCGCTTCTAACTCACTGCAGAGTTAAAACATGACATGGATGAAAAATACAGATTTTAACTAAATCAAAAATCCCCTTTTCAGTAAGTTAATACTGCTGTTTCTTATGCAACAGTCTCAGGAACTGCAGCGTGCCTAAAGGTAACCTTATGCCAATCATTTTCCAGCATTGTTTCAGTTTCAAAAAAATATCTCCCCCACACTGAGCTGAATAAAACAGCACGTTGAAGAACCATAATGGCACGCTGACAGCTGCAATCAGAGTTAAGGTTGAGAAGGAGCATATGACGCCGTATGGTGATTTCCTGTCCCCTTTGTCTCTGCCGTCACACCTCGCGCCAGCTCCGGCCTCGCCACCCAATTATTACAATTTCTGTCCAGTGACTGAGCAGGATCACAGCAGTGCTCTTGTACACGCATTACTTCCATGTCAGTAACAGGGAACGGGCTGGGGGGACTCCCAGCCCCTGATTAACCATCCCCCCTGCGGCAGGTCTGCCGGGACCGGAGTCTCCCAGCCGTGAGTTCCCACAGACGGACAATGTCAAGGAAAGAGAGAAGGAGTCTGGCAGACACCGCAATGACGCAAATACTGTGACAACAACAGCAGCAGATACCAAATTGCTCTCAGTTGAACATCACTGATAGCAGTGGGACCCAATGAAAACCAGCCATAGGTACAAATGACCCCTACAAAAAGCAGCGCTTTTCACCGGTGTCAGTCCAAGGTTTAATTATTTTTTTATTTCAATTGGAATTCCGTAAGCTAAATGTATGTGAAAAGGGAATGCCAGTATAAAGACACTGAAGGCAAGACATTAATACCTTTAGTAAACCCAACCTGCAAAATCAAAACTAATGGAGTCAATCTAGGCACGTCACAGTCTTTCCTTGTTGTCATCAGGTATCTCCCCAGATCTTTTCTTCCCACAGAATGGTTTATTATTATTATTAACCACAACTACAAAAAGATAATGAAATTACTCTTGTTTTAACCATTATGTTCAACACTTAGCATGACTATGTCAACAGAGAGTACATGTCTAAGAATTATTTTATTGGTTGAAATCAAATCAAAAGCAAGCAGAGTAAATAGTGAAGAAAACAGTTTCACAGATTCACACTGGTAAAGATAATTTTACTTTCTGTCTCCAAAATTAAAGTAAAAATTGTTTTCACTTTTATCATACAATTTCACTTAACCTGCTTAATTGGCTTTGCTGCCATAACAATTACACAGAATTATTGAAAAATAATCAAAATTCAAATACATATTTTCTTCTCTCAGTTGTTCAATTTTTCTAAGGAATGGCATTCTTTTGTATGTTTTTGACTCTGTTTTCCATTTTAAAGGAACTTGATGTCCCTCCAAATATACCTGACTACATCTTTAATGCATGTAAATTGTAATAGCAACAGTTGAAAATATTCATCTGCTACTTCTCTGTCTCAATTTATTCCAGTTCAGAATTATTCATACAAATAATCTTCCCTTCCTCTGAAGGTCTAAGCAAGAAAACCAACAGCTTTTTAACACTGCAAAGGAGATCTCAAAAGAACTCAATTTAAGTCCTTTAAGGAAACAACAGTTCTCATTGCCTAAAGACCTGGCTGTGCAAATCTTCCTGCTCCTATTCCCAACTCAGGCCAAAAAAACTCAGAATTATTGAGACTTCAAGCCAGAACAGGTACTATTTTTGAGTTGTGACATCATTTTTCGGTACTGTTATCCATTTTGCCCCTGCATGATGGATTATAAAATAAATTTTTCTCTGAAATACTTTCAACTGCTACTTCATTTCAGCCAGGAAACTCTCAGCTGTAGAGCTCAGAGACTTTCATCCCCCATGCCATGTGTTGCAAATTGTTAATGCCTACTTTAGCTGTCAGAATGTCTGCAGAATTGGGAATGATTGGCTTTCTTCCCTATTTTCACAACAGACAGGTCAACGCATAGACATGCCTTTCTGCAGGCTGCCACATTCTCCAAAGGCCCCGCACTTGTTCTCATTGCAGACCTCCTTCTTCAGAGCTCAAGGACATACCCAATAATGTTCATATATTTCAGCTCCAGCTAAGTCAAAATTGCAGCTTTAATGTTGAGGTAGCTGGGTGTATAACAAAAGAAGTCTTTCAATTGCTATTGCTGTATTTTCTACTTAAAATTGAAGCCAAAAAATAAAATCCTGGTGTTTCCTCTTAAAATAGAACATTTTCCAAAAGAAATTTTGCAATGCAACTTGCAATAAGTTCATGGCAAAAATAACAACAGAGAAGTTAAACCCAGTTCTTAAACCATAACCTTTTAATTCCTCTGTATCTTTGTATCAGAATATTCACTTGTACTGAAAATTGTGACTAAAGATGGTTTCTACAAAACTGGAATAAAATCTGTCAAGACACTTTGCACTACACTTCCATGAAAACTTACTCTAATTGAATATGTTTGCTTTGGTCAGACTTTGTGTTTGCCTCCTAGATGACAAGGATCTGGTACAGACTATATTTGAAGAGATGATTGGGGTTTATAAACAGTCATCACCACTATTGTCCCATACATTTCAGTAGGAACTGTGGTCACCCTCTCCTGAAAATCCTCTAAAGCTTTTGGGTTTTTTTTCAGTAGGAACTGTAGTCACCCTCTCCTGAAAATCCTCTAAAGCTTTTGGTTTTTTTTTCCTTTCCTTTTCCAGTGCCAAGTACTGGACTTGCACTGCTGAGTTTGTTGCCCTCTTTTGGAGCTTCTACTGGGATCTTTCTAATACTGAGGAATTTCAGTTGCTACATTCAGCAGCGATTCACTCACAGGCAAAGAGCTTCCGTTTGAATGAACAGATGAAAGGGCTGCCTAAGGATTATGGCTTCAAATTTTCATACATTGTTTTATTATACATAAAAGTGGTAATCTCCACAGAATTAAATTACCAGCATGATCTGCTTACAGCCCTGATTTTAATTTACTCTAAGTAACTATCCCAGAAGGTGGAAGAAAGGCTTTTTTCTTCAGTTTTT